TTCAGTTGTTACGGGGCAGTGACGTATTCAACAAATGATAACAAAAGACACCGTTTTAAAGCATTGCAAGGTACAAAGGAAAAGGACAACAAAATGAAATCTATGTAGTTGAAGTTTGCTGTGCTTTATCCTAACATGAAGTGAATGTCTGCATTCAGGGACGACTGCACAAAACCACTGCGAACTAGCAAAAACATTATGAACTTTACGAAACGATAAACGATTGTAGTTTAAGTTCACAGAGAAACTTTTTATTGACCTTTTATGAAAAAAAATCTATTAAACCTGCTGAGAAACAAGGAGCGTGAACTAAAATTCTCAGTTCCACACGCATGTCCAGGAAACTCATGAATATTCATGTAAGCTCCGCCCACTGAAACCGAAAACCTCGTTACGCTGGCACGATTCGGTCAGCCTGTTCTCTAGGGCAGCGGTTCTCAACGGGGTTGACCATGGGACCCACATCTCCCCATGGCCAATTAAGCCGCGACCCAATTTTTTTAGGGATAAATTATATGGTCTAAACATAAATTTGCTTTTTCAAAAAAATTTTTAACTGGTTTACTGAACAAATTGTGTCACTCCTTAAATGAATCCAATTATAATTACGTTAAAGGATAAAAAAATGATCTCTGCTAATGCTGTAAACTATAGGGAGCCCTTACTTGCACATTACTATAACATTAATTTGTAGGCTAATCAAATAACAAATTGTATGCAAACATGTAAATTGCACTAATAATCAAAAAAGAAAGGGGTGTTGCGGCTGAACACCAGACTATCGCTCAGAGGTGTTAACAACCAGGCCAAAAAAGGGGGATCTCATGACACTTTAAGGTAAAGTCAGACCATTCTGTTTTTGCTTTAGTGAAATTATGCTGCATAAGACACACCTGCACAAAACAAAAACAACAGACGGACTGAATGACAATGCAAATTCACCCTCCGACAGTAGGTGGCGCTTATGGGACAGCAGCAATATAGCATTTCCTTGGTTGCCGCTGCACAGAAAGCATGGCGTTCATAAACTACTTTATAAGGCATTACACAGAGGTGAGAGCAAAAGAAAATGCCATCAACTTTTCTGAAGACAGTCAGTCCCCTTCAGATATAGATTATTATAAACCCCCACCCTAAATTCAAAACGTATATTTTTCTTCCAGTATTTCTAGTGTTGCGAACAACGAGCTGAAGTATCTGCTGGCACGTCTTTGTTCTCCTCTTTTCGCCCGTCTTCAGCGTGTCCCGTCTCTGGCCTTTCTTAACGTCCTGTTTACAGACTTTGTAATATTTCCACACAAATAACATTTTGGGAATTGATTGCAAGGCAGTTTGTGCACAAGTCCGGAATAGAGACTTTCTCAGTCTGTGCTTTTGTTTTTACGCAGCACTGCTAGTAAGTCCTGGGTTATGTACACAGGTTGGTTGCTTTACTTATGGGGCGGGTCTCAGATGCTGAACTTGCAGTGACTAATAAACCCTTGGTCAAATAAAGAGCTAAACCCAGATTCAACATTCAAACACGTTATATTCAAGCATTCTATTTAAAGGCAAACAAGAAATGATGCATTAACACAATTCCCAACGGACACTCCAGCTCTGGAAGTGTGCAACATCTACACCGGTTTGTGTATAGACCTGCACCAATACTTTTAGCTTTAAAACTGTTCAAAATATTCCTATCCTTCCCATACTTCAAATTCTTTCTCTGTGGTGGTCAAACCTAATGGGTCATTTATAATTCCACTCTGCCCTTAACCATGTGACCCGTCACCGGTAACTCCAGGCATTACAAGCATCCTCCTGCTGTTGAGGGGTGTGTGTGTGTGTGTGTGTGTTGTCTAGCCACAGTGCAGCTATTGTTGGTCTGTTACTAGGGAGCGTTTGGGTGTACTGACACTACAGGCCTGAGGGGTTAAAGGGGGGCTGGGGTGTTTTATGACAGCCCAGCAGTAACAATGCCCAGTCAGCTGGTCAGTGGGGACTGTGAGAGCATTTGTTGTTTTGAACTTTGCACATGCTGCCATGTTTGCTGACACCAGTAATGTGAATTGCTTGTTTGGTTTTGGGGATTTTTGTCTTTTTCAACATGGATGCAAGTTTTGGTTTCCTGTTTAAAAGTGGAAGGAATCCATAAGGTTTCTAAACTCATAGTATGTGTTTTAGAATTAAGTTTTTATTGTATGCGTGTAATGTATGGCGTAAATTGGTAAGGGCCAATGCCAAACTTTAAAAACATTTGTTTATTTTTTTTATCTAGTATATCAGGGCTGGGTTGAAAATATACTCATTTTTTTAATCAAGCTTCATTGAAATGGTATAAATTCTTAAATCAAGAATCAATCTTTTAGTCTGTTTTTGATGAAACCATTAATATGGAATATAGACTAAATTAAACGGAAAGCAAAAATAAAATGGAATTTGGATTTGGTATTTTTTGTTAAACTGTTAATACATTTCTGTTAAATTGAACAAGTTTCATGATTTAAATTAATTACACATGTTTTTTGATTAATACAATTTAATTTAACTTCAATTTTAAGACGGAATGAACTCACATTAAACTAGGCATCTTGTAAAGTGTGCTTATCCTTAAGGTTAGCTGCATTAAACAGTTTAGCTTTCTTGTTTGTTTCCCTCTCACATTAATGTTACAGCCTCTGCTATAACATTATCTGTTCATAAAATTGGTATCGAAAAAAGTATCGTTTAGGAACCGAACCGGTATCGAAGTCATTGTATCGATATTGCAAATGTTTGCACGATCCTATGGCGGTGTCTGTGTATAATCGCACAGGTTTCACCACTGTAGGCCGTGAATAAAGCACAACAGGGGAGTCCGGACGGTCCTGCTGGGTGACTTGACTTCCTCGTTATTTGACATCTCAGTTTGCTTTCTTTTGATGTCACTTCATGATTCTTGACATTTGTGACTTTCGCAGTGTGACGTTGTTTGCAGCGGATCCGTCTATCCGTGGATATATTAGGGGTCCGCTGATAGATGCCTGCTTTCAAACGCTTCCGTGTGTATCTGCTTTTTTAAATTTATTTATTTATTTTTATTGTTTGTTTGTTTTTATCTGTCCTGTCTTGCGTGGCTTTTTTGGACATGAGTCTGGCAAATAAACTGAATTGAATTGAATTGTGTAAGTGCTCGGTGAAGACATGTTTTTGAAGTGTTGATCATTGTAGCCGATCAGCACAATGGCCAACCAGGTGTTTAAGAATCCGTTCAACAGCGCTCAAAATGCTGGAGGGAAATGCAGGTTTCGTGATATTTTTTTAAAATTTAAGTACTGACTTTGTGCCGAAGTCTGTACTTTTGACAACACTGTAGCCAATACCGGTATATTGTCACTCTCAAATATCAGTTATCGCTAGGGCTGGGTAAAAAATATCGATTTCTCGATTTGAATCGATTCGCATTTTTTACGAACCGATATCGATTCTTATATCCCAAGAATCGATTAGGCTAGTCATCCTGTTTTCAGTTGATGAATGAATGGACCATTATAGCGCGCATCCCATCCAATAAATCGCAATAATCTTTGTGCTTTGTTACTATTGATATGAAACAAAGTCTCAGATTTCGAATTGCGTCCATTTTCTTACGAAATTCAAAAACATAAATAGCGTTTTGGCGCTGTGGCGTGAGATCGCTCTGGCGCCGCTCAAGAGAAGCACATGACCTTAATAATACCAGTTACAGCGCGAAATCAACATGAATGAGCATCTGAAAGTGTGTTATAGAGTACAACTTATCGAAATCCGTATCATCGTGTTTCAACCGTGGAGAAACGTCAGTAAAAGCTTGTAAACGATGTCATGTAACGCCACATTCACATCCAGTGACCATTAACTCGTTAGTCAGATAGAAAAATTACTCTAGAGAGGAGCATTTTGCTAAATATATGCAGCATATTCGTATTCATTATAATTTTTAATGTTTTTCAGTATTAAATGCATGTTTGTAATAATCAATATTGAATCGAAATCGAATTGCAAGCTTGTGAATCGAAATTAATACCCAGCCCTAGTTATCGCCATTATCGGTATATCGTGACACCCCAAATTTGAGTCTTGAGATCTTGTTTTTGAGACCAATTTTTTTATGAACTCTTTATTTTGGTAAAAATATGACCTTTATACATCCATCTGAGGCATGTGTAAAGAATACCAGTTCAAAAAAAGTTGCAAAATGTCAACTAATTTCAATAATCAAGAAATGTATAGTTTTGATGAAAGATTACAAAGCCAAACTTTTTTTTACATTTTTTTTTTTTTTGAAGAAAATCATTTAATCCTTGAACCAGGAAAAGAAACCGTGTCAATTTTGTTGTAATGTTGACAATAACTACTTTGTAGTATCAATTCTGGTCATACAGGTTTTTAATTTTAATACTTTTTGCATGTGGATTTTAGTCAAGACTATCTCATACCAGCATATCTTACTGAAGTAAAAATACTGAGGTTATCATGGTAATACGGTACGCCTTGGACAATGGTTATGCGAAGGAGTTACTCAATTCCTTTTCTTTCTTTTGTAAAGTATTTTGAGTGATTAAGCTAATCAGTTGATTCAATGGGCCCAAGTGGTGAGAGACATAACCATGGTAGTGATACTGGATCAGACAGCCTTTATTTGGCTTTGAGTGAGATAGGGAGTGAGAGAGAGATACAGTGTCAACCTAGTAGGAGTATTGCACAGCTCCTGTGGTTTAGACTGCACACAGGCTTTGAATAAATGATGGAAGTCCTACTTCTTCAGCTAAATGACTCCAGCCGAGCGCTTATCAGCCACCCTGACTGACGCTGGAAGAACTTTTCCATGCCGCTAATTCACTGCCAAGGGTATTGATTCAAGAAGACCAATCTACTTTTTTGAAAAAGTGCATCCGTTGTCTTCTAGGACTAAGGTGGTTTGATTCTATTTGAAGACTGAGCAGATTTAATTTATGGTGCGATTAGGTGTAACTTAAGCATCTCTCTTTCTCTTGCAGTAGGTGTGGAGTATGTGGGCCAGCTGCTGCGGCTGGCTTGGTCTGGATGAATCCACTGTGGAGAACACCGGAAGTAGCACACAACATCAGACCTTCACAAACTCAGGCTTCAGCAGTTACCCATCTCCAGAAAACACGTGCAAGGCCTGTGGAGGTCGCTTTGACAGCCTCGCCAGGAAGGTAATCATATGACATGACTAGTTTTCACACAACTGACTTACAAATCCACCTTGTAATGTTTAGCTTTAGCAGTGTTATACAATTATTTGGTGAAGCACTGTTGTACTGTAGTTCTTGTACAGGTAATGTTCATTATTTGTAAGTGCGTTTATTGGTGCCTTTTGGAATCCTGTTGATGCTTTGCATTTAACGTCATCCTCATGTCACTGACAGATAAGGGAAAGGCTCAAGCTACAGTTTATAGCCACCATACAAGTTGAGTTAGTGACTGGAGTCATTGTGTGGAGCGTCCTCCTCCAGCGTGACTACTCTGCTCGCCTCACGAGGGGAGTTGTCCTTTGTAAACTGTGGCTCCAATGACAGTACAATGGCGCATATCGATGTCATGGCCATTGTACCAGTTCCTTACAGCAGTGCTGCTATTGTCACTTCACGTTCATGGGATTCCTGCAGATGTACCTTACAAAAGAGTAATTACAGGGAGTAACATTGGGATCAGGTTTCCAGTGTTTTTTTTTTTTTTTTAATTGGATTGAAAGTTTTTGATGTTTGAAAGCAAGCAGTTCATAGACTTACTAGTGGGTAAGACATCTACAAAGTACATCCAGTATTGTTCTCTGAATAGAGCTCAATAGTGACCACTAGGGTTGTGTCAATAGATGATGGTATCATGTAACGATGATAGTCTATGTGACATCACCAAATAACCACACTTCACACATAAGCATACTATCATTAATGTCTGCTCCACTGGAGAAATATTAAGCCAGTAAATTAAGATTTTATGTTGAGGTAGATTAATCTCTCGTCGTCTCTGAGAGAATGTGCTAAGTTTTTGCTTTCACTTTTAGGGAGTAATTGTCTGTGGTTTGAGACTCCTTCACCGGCATAACTCTCGTGGAAAGTTTGCAGATTGCATGTGTAATTAGGGCTGGGCGATATGGCCAAAAAAAATTATCACGATAATTTTTTTATATCAGTCGATATCGATAATTATCACGATAAATGTCAAATCTTTCTTTATTTCTTTCAAGTTTAAAGGCAGATTTTTGCTCTTAAGTGAAAGTTGTAGAAACCAGAGCGTTAATTGTGGTTTTAAACTACTCTTTATTGTCAGAACATATCATGATTAACACTTGCCAAACAGGTGGACCTTTCACAAATCTGAGGTAAAACATCATTTGTCATTTTTCCTTAACAAAATAAATATCTGAATAGAAAAATATATTTCTTAGTTTCTGCATGTGCTAATGGAGGATATGAAACAGGTTTGTGTTGCCTGACTTTGATGGCACGTATCTTCAGCACAGTTTGCAGTGCAGGCTGCAATATTGATATTACATGTTTTGTCTCGATACGCATATTTGACAGTGAGTTGACAGTAAATCTGCATCCTAACTCAAGCTAATACTACTATGTTAAATGTATGTTCATTAACAAAAACAGTAACATCTGTTAAAAAAAATGTAACTACCACATTTTTATTTGGTAAAATGTAATATTCTGAGTTTTATTCAAATGAACCTATGGTCATCCAGTATCATGCATTTAGATCATGATAACCACAGATAAAGCCAGGCATAGCCTATAGCACCTCACTATCATGGCAAAATGTAACTTTATGGTTTCTATGGTATTTGTATGAAAAAAGTAGCCTAAATACATTATTAAATACTGTAATTATATTCCATTAGTCTTTTAAAACATTGTCTACATTAATAATATAATACAATTCATGTATATCCCACATTTAATGGTGCAGTTAATATTATAACCTTACAGTAAATCCATGCTAAATGGATTCCGTATCAACTCATATTCTGACTGTATCACAGTGTTTCTCCTGTTCGTCAGCGCTGTTTCATCTGCCTTTAAACTGGTTTAAATCACTGATACATTTGTGTTCTTCCAGCGCTTCTCACTGGATGTCGTGACCGAGGCCGATCAGAGTAAACGCGTCTGCTCCATAGGATCTGCTCTAGTGAGCTCGCGCTGCCGTTGTGCCAGCTGGACTTTGAGCCGAGCGGATAAACGGTCCGTGAGGCGCGCGCGGTTCAAATGAGTTTCGTTCCGCTTTTGGCACATACACATTATCGAACATTTATCGAACTCTTGATATCGTTTTATCGAGAAAAATTATATCGCGATAATTATCGTTATCGTTTCATCGCCCAGCCCTATGTGTAATATTCACGGGCTGGCCTTTTGGGTCAAATAGTTATGCGACGTGACATTTCTCTTCATCACCAACTCCATTTTTGCTCGCAAAATGATAGAAAAGATAATCATCCTCCACGATTATAAAACAAATTTAATTAAATAAATGAGTAAATGATCAAATGAGTAAACTATTGTACACCCCCGCCCGGCGCGGCTGACGATAGCACAATATGACTCTGGAGAATATCGCCCAACACTAGTATTTTCACTAGAAGCTTAATCTTTGATACATATTTCAAAAGATGTTTCTAAGCCTTGAATCAAACCAACTATAGCACCATGATTCATAAATTTTAAAAATATATATTTTAAGACAAATAAAGTATTTGAAAATCAGTAAATGAATGAAGTACTGAAGACACAATTATGATACATTTTAAACGTCACGGTACCAAGTACCGGTGGTAACAAGTACCCGGTCAAACCCGGTTCTGGATGCGCATGAATGCACGAGGGGCGTGAAGTTGCGTCCTCTTCATGAAAGCGCTGAGACATGGCGACCGGCGGCGCTGCTGATGTGATGTCTGTGTATATTAAACTGCAAAAAGACTATTTAAATATTAACCCTGCATGTTCTGCTTGTCTCTGTGTTTCATTTAACGTTACCTCACACACACACACACACACACACTGAAGCACGAGTGACGCTCGCGCTGTTTTCAGTCTCTGCTTCCTCACGATATGATGACATGATTCATGATTCAATTCATCTCCAGAGCCACTCTGAGAGTCACTTCATGAGCATTTTACCGTTTCATTTGAGAAAAATTATCATTATATCATACACGCACAGAAACTCAAAGGTCTTCACGGCAACCCGTCAAAATTAAAGTTCGGTTTAACTTAAAGAAATTGACAGAAATAATTATATTAGGCTACTGTACAATAGATTTAACTACGTCTCCATTAATTAAAAGTACTACTACTAATAGGCTAATAATAATGTGTGCATAGGTTACTTATTTTTCACTTGATTTCTCAATATCATCAATATTTTTGTTTAAAGTGTGTATGTCAGGTTAAATTTGTAATTATGATTAACACAAAATAGGGGAAATACACGTTTGACAAGTTGTTGTATTGTTTTGTATGTTTTTCGATACCTAAAGGCAGAATATAAGATGAAAAAGTTTGTTGTTTTCAGTACTCACTTAAAACTGCTCCTCCGCCCAAACGGATCGCTTGACGTCATAAGAGGGAGACGTCTCCCCAGGTCCCTGAGAAAGTGAGTTTGTGAGCTGTGTTGATAATTGTACGAGTGATAGAGCGAGAGAATTAGTGATTAGGACATTGATTTATTTAGTTAGCTATTTAAGTTAGGTAGTTAGTTAGGTATATGCAGGTGTATCTTCACGATGGTGAATTACTGCGTTTGTGCTGGGTGCAAAAACACAGTTAAAACCGGTCACAGAGTCCACTTTTTCCCAAAAAGCAGGTCTGTGTTCTGTGCCTGGGTCAACTTTGTTCGGACCAAACGCGCTGACTTCAGTGCCGCCTCGGGATCCAAGACTTCGGTCATTTGCAGCGCACATTTCTTCCAGTTTTTATGTTTCCACTGTACGATCGCGCCCGCGCCCCTCTCTCTCTCACACACACACTCTCTCACACACACACACACACACACACACACACACACACACACACACACACACACACACACACACACACACACACACACACACACACACATATTACAGCATTGCAATCTTGACATTGCAGCCTGTTCATTATAGACATTGTAGATCGAATAACATCTATAGCCACGGAGCTTCAGAGCTAAGGCGGAGCTACAGATTAGGTGTCCCTAAATAACCCGCGTATCTAACAGAAGTTCCGCATTAATTAATTTGCGCGCAAGTTTTATTTATTTTTATACCGTGTATTCTCCGTGTATAGTCATGCACCGAACCGTAACGCCCATAGCGCTTCGGTTCAATTCGAATACATGTACCGTTCCACCTCTTAGTTATGCCTATAGCCTACTTACCAAGACACCTGACCAACTCTCCACTGGTTCTCTTCACACCAGATATTTATGTTTCTTCGATAGGAATTATTTAAATTTCTGTTTGGCTCCTCATCTGTCTCACGCATGGGAGGCTCAAAAGTGTATGGCTGTGGGCCATCGTAGGTTTGAGGGGGATTTTGGATCTGCTCAGACTCAAAACTCTCCATACTTGAATAGAACTTTTTTGGCACGTCTCCCTCTTCTGACGTCACAGCTCAGCTGTGTTTTAAAAATATGATCTTGACAGAAATGGCTATAAAGCTTACTGTAGGGCAATTACAGTAATAATTACATTTTCACTCAGACATCTAATCTAACCCTTATTTAATATATCAACAAAAAAATTGTAACCTGACATACACACTTTAACAGCATGTAGCCTTCAATGCTTTCATAAATTTACCATAAATAAATAATAAAGTCATTGAATTGAATTTAAATTTTTTTTTCAAATTGTTAAATAAATTGGAAAAATAGTTAAAACTGATTTTGCTGTGTACATCGAAATTGGTACCGAGAACCGTAAAATTTGAATGGTATCGGTACCGACTACTGAAATTTTGGTACTGTGACATCCCTAGTTGGCAAAAGTTGGAAATTACATTGGTTACTGTTTACACAGTAATGGAGAATTCTCTATTTATAGGACTTCATTTTACGTTTGTGGGTAGTGGTATGCTTCACCAGTAATTTGGTGCTTAAAAACAGTTTCTTATAAATTAAGCTGAAATTCCATTGATGTGTTGCTTCTGCAGAAGCATGTACCAGCGTCAGACATCCTGCAAACGTTTAGCCATGACACACTAAACCGACATCAAAGAACCAGTGGCTTTCATCGCGTCACCTGTTCAAGCTGCAGACGGGGGTCCAACTAGTGCTAGGGGTGGGAGCAAACTGGAAAAACTAGGTCACCTTGTGTCACGGCCTTAAAGTCTGTGTGAACCGGAAGTTGAGGCCGCCTTCAGTATCCACCATGTTTAGCAATGCTATTTTTATTTTTTTTCAATGCGTGGGTGTTAAAGGAGCACTTCACCCATTTCAACATTAATCTTTATTGAAAGTGGGTCATATATGTAGTCGAAATGTAAAAGACATTTTTATTTTGGTGCCCTCTTGACCGAGAAAAGATAGAAAATAACTTTAGGGTGTATTTGCATGTAAGACAACAACTCCCACAATGCACCACATTGCACAGCTCCGCAAGCCACTCCCACTAATCCAGAACAGCAGCGCAAACATCAGAGAAATCACTCTTTCGTCTACAAGGCTAACGTTAGCTGCCACCAGAGTTAGAGATTAATTTCACACAAAATTTCTAGTTAGTTGGCTGTGGCGAGCAGGACGAGGGCGAGTGACGTGAGAGGACGGCGCGAGGCCGGTGGCGTGAGAGATAATGAACGACACCTGTGAGACCCACCGGTCTCTCGCATCTCTCACCGAGGAGAGGACGCATAAAAGGAGGAGCGACGACAGGGCAGATCGAGAGAGGAACAGGCCTGATTTTATGTTGTGTTTTGTTTCTGTTGCATGTGGCTGCTGGCTTATACTTTTTTTCTTTTTTTTTTTTTTACACATTTTAACACATTACAACAATGAACTAAACATTCCCTGACAACCACAGTGGCCCTAATAAAATGAAAAGAAAATTCAAAAAATACAAAGTACATAAAACACTATATGGTAAAAAAAAAAAAAAAAAAAAATGAATGGAATGAAAAAGAATGGTATTAATTTAGTTTCTCCCCAATCAGTTCACACTCAATGCCTCAATGTATATATTAATAGGTGTCCATCTTTGTATGAAAGTGTCCAGTTTCAGTTGGAGTAGGGCAGTCATATGTTCCATTCTATAAATAGATACAAGTTTTTCTCTCCATTGACTTATTTTTGGTGGGTGTGGCTTCATCCAATTAATTGTAATGGTTTTTCGTGCACATAGTAGGAGGACATGTAGAATATATTTCTGATTTTGACTACAAAAGTCTTGGGGTATTCCTTCAAGCAAAAAATACAAGGGAGTAAAAGGCAGATCTACATGCATAATTTTCATAATCTCATCCTTAACCTCTTGCCAAAATGTAACTACTTTTGGACATTCCCAAAATATGTGTGTGTGGCTTCCTACTTTCCCGCACTCCCTCCAACATTTCTCTGCTTCTGGATTATCCACAAATTTTGATATCACCTGTGGTGTTCTAAAAAACCTGATTTTTGTTTTCCAGTCAAACTCTTTCCAGTTATAACTGTTGATGCCCTTATGACATCCTGTGCAAATGTTTACCCAAGTCTCATCCTCTATATGATCATTCATTTCAAACTCCCACTTTGTCTTTATATGGAACGTATTATCTGTTGAATCAAGCAGTAATCTGCTGTATATGTGCTACATATGTTTATGTAGTGGGTGTTGTTTCTTTATAGCAATGAAATAAAGAAACTTTATAGTTCTTTATAGTTCTTATAGTTCTTATAGTTCTTTATAGTTTCTTTATAGTAATGTTCCACATTAGTTGGGGCTTTCTTAATTATTTCCCTTTCCTTATGATTTGTAATATAGTTTCTTATTTGTAGGTATCTGAAAAAATCATTTGATGATAACGTAAACTTTTCTTTAAGATCAGAGAAAGAGCGCAATGTATTTCCGTCAAAAAGCTGATCAATCATGGTAAGACCCTTCTCAGTCCATCTTTTAAAAATAGCATCCCACCGGGAGGGTAGAAACTCGGGGTTATCTGCTATGGACATAGCCCTCGATAAGGTTGCCACTCCTTTCATTTTTTTCTGAACTATTGTCCACACTTTCAACGTTTGCTTAACCCATATATTTGTTATTTTCATCTTCTTCTGAGATTGAGGTGTCATAAAAGCTAGTATTGATAAAGGGGTATTTGGTACAGAGCTCTGTTCTATGTTAACCCATCCTGTTTCAACATCATTATTAATCCATGCCACTATCGATGCTAGCTGAGCAGCCCAGTAATAATATCTTAAATTAGGGAGACGCAGCCCTCCTCTGTCTTTTCCTAAAGTCAATGTTTTTAATTTTATTCTGGGTCGTTTATTCTGCCATATGAACTTTGATATGAGTTTTTCTAGCATGTTAAATGTAGTTGCAGGAATCCATACTGGGAGGGATTGAAATAAAAAAAGCAATCTAGGCAAGATATTCATTCTTATTGTCTCAATCCTACCAAACAACGAAAGTGGCAACACTTCCCATCTTAATAGATCCTTTTTAATGGTATTAATTAGCTTATTATAATTTGCCTGATACAACTGCGAGAGTCTAGGTGTAATGGTAACTCCTAAATATTTGAAAATTTATACTTTCCCATTGAAAATGGGCAATACATTTCTATCTGGATCATTTAGATCTGTCGTGGGCCCCGTGTCTCATCTGGTTGCCCGTTGACGGCAACATTGCTCAAAAAGTTGTCCTGTGTATCATCACCTTTATGGTCCAAAACCAACTTTAGCTCATTTAAACCATTCAAAAAGACAAGGACCGATCATATAAGAAATCACAGACGATAGATTAGTTTTGACGTCTAATTAATTACACTGTAAAGTTTTAATACAAAGAAAATCCAACAAGCAAAAATTAATACAAATTCACACACATAAGATAAAAAAAACAAATGATTAACAAAAATAATAGTAAGCAGGGCAGCTAAAGAAAACAAAGCCCTGACTACACCTAATCACCTGAGATCTTGCCTATAGCTCCCGTGGAGAATAAAAACAGGTGAGCTGCTTACCTCGCTGATCTAACTAAATAACAAAACGTGAACTACGAAAAACCTATCCACTAGGCCTACCTGTTACTGAAAAAGACTAAACAAAACAGAAGTTGAAATCAACATATAGTCAAAACCTGTATCGCTCCAGCAAGTAGAAGAGAGCCGCCATCAGCCTCCTCGCAGTTTAAATAGTAGAAATCCCTGATGACGTCACTCCACTGTCAAGGATCAGGGAAATCCCTTCTCACTCCTCCTACTTACTAAAATGAATAAATCCCACACAGGGAACAATTCCTCTACCTGCACACCCACGTTACAGTGGGACATTCAATTCATTATTGGCCATGAGTAAATAACTAGTAGAAAAACACAGTGCAGTAAATGGTAAAACAATTTGCGATCCAAACCAGTTTGTTTATGATAATGAATTAAAATAGTATGATGACGAATACCATTGTTTTGTACAGGACCCTGCCGGTCCTTAAAAAGTATTCAATCCAGTTTAATCATATTTAAGGCAATTAAAAAGTCTTATTGGTAGAAGAAAAAAAAAGTCTTAATTAAATTTGGGGACAGAACAACAGGAATCGCGATATGCTTAGTGTGATTTATTAAACTACAAAAGGTGACGACTTAATGAAATTGAAATCAATCTAAATATAATAATCTCGACTCATCCCCTTTCCTGAAGTGAAATAAAGGCTGAAATTTGAGTATAACAATGTTCAGGGACGGCAGCGAACATTCAACATAATTTGAATGACCAAAATAAACAACAAAACGAAAGTAAAGTGGCAGTCCCTCATGTAAATGTCCCAGGCCTGGTCCTCTCTCATCCTTCACTGTCGTCACTGTCTCCTTTTGCGTTTATTTTACAGTAATGTGTATCGTAGGCAGGAAAGTAGGAGGAGGGAAATAAGATCGGGACATGAGCCAACAGCTCTTGCACGTCCTGAGTGTGTACATTGAGCCACAGCTCTGACTGAATGGCATTGTGACTTCCAGAAGTTATGTTAGTCATGTGTTTATATTCCCTGAAGAAACTTGCCAGACTGCTTTGGCATTATCCGGTACAGCTCTGTGTTTATCAGATGTAATAACGCAAACAGTACATCTGCTTAGAATCAGTCAATCGAGTGTAGCTTTTGACCCAGTTCTTACACCCTTTAATGCCTGTGCCAACTGCGCAATTCTTAATGGTGTGACACACTCCTTAAATAAGATGTGAGATTGTGTTCCAGTCTTAACCTGGCTTTAAAATGCACACTCCCATTGTTCATTGCAGCACATGTGCATGGACTGCAAGAAAAGCTTCTGCAGCCAGTGCTCCGCTCAGCTGGACGTCCAGCCGTGGCTGTGCCACACCTGCCAGCGTTTCCGCGGGATCTTGTACGAGCGAGCTGAGCTGATGAGGCTGAAGGTGAAGGACCTGAGGGAATATCTTCACCTGCACGGGGTCCCCACACAGATGTGCCGAGAGAAGGAGGAGCTGGTCGAGCTGGTCCTCGGCCAACAGACACCTCCGTCTGACACACACATTCCTCCCCCAATAACCACACGCCTGGACCCGCAGGAAGACCCTTACACTCCATTCAACACCGCAAGCCTGTCGCAGGACAACAGCACAACAGAACTGGGACCTCAGGCTCAAACTACAGAAGATGCACAGGTATGAAAAGGAAAAACGGTCCTGCAAAAAGTTTTGAAAGAAGTCTTTTATGCTCACCAGGGCTGCATTTATTTGATCAAAATCTGTAAAAAGTCAAATTGTGAAATAACTTTTCTATTTGAATATCTTTTAAAATGAAATGTATTCCTGTGTTGTCAAAGCTGAATTTTCAGCATCATTACTTCAGTGTCACATGATCCTTCAGAAATCTGATTTGGTGCTCAATTATTAATAATGGTTCTTCTTATTATTATTATCAATATTCAAGTTTTTGCTGCTTAATATTTTTGTGGAAACTGTGATGCAGTTTTCAGGATTCTTCGATGAATAGAAAGTTCAAAAGAACAGCATTTATTTGAAATCGAAAACTTTTGAAGCATTATAAATGTCTTTACTGTCACTACTGATCAATTTGATGTCTCTTTGCTGAATAGAAGTGTTATTTTCTTTAATGTTTTTTAATGGTAGTGTATCACAGTTTCTACATAAGTATTAAGCAGCTAAACGGTGTTCAACATTAATAATAATAAAAGTTTCTTGACCAGAATGATTTCTGAAGGATCACGTGACACTGAAGACTCGAATTCAGCTTTGACATCACAGGAATAAATCTTTTTTTTTAAATAATTCAAATGAAAGTCATATTAAATTGTAATAATATTTTACAATATCCCGGTTTGGTAACACTTTACTTGAAGGGGTGTGCATAAGACTGACATGACACCTTCATAACCATGACATGACATATGTCATGAATATGAAGTAGGGTTTATTCATGTTTATGACAACTGTCATTAAGTGTCTTTCGCTCAATAATGACATTTTGAATGCAAATATGACATTGTTTAAGATGTCTTTGTTATGACATCTTGACATAAACCATAACATCATAACCTGTCAGTGTCTTTGTCATGACAACTTGACATTAAGTTAAACTGTCATGTGGTTGGTATTGACATTGGCTGTTATGAGGCCATTATAACTGTGTCATGAATATTTTTCGTGACCTCAACTACAGTGGTACAAATTGAATTTGTCATTAAACAGTTATAATGGCTTCATGACAGCCAATGTCAAAACCAACCACCTGACAGTTTAATGTAATGTTAACTAATAAAGCCAAGTGGTTTCTTAAGTTTGATAGTTAATCTGCTAGGTCATGTTTATGACAGGTTGTGTTGTCTTAGTAATGTCAAGTTGTCATGACAAAGACACTGACAGGTTATGATGTATTTGTTTGTCAAGGTGTCATAACAAAGACATCTCAAACAATGTCATATTTGCATTAAAAATGTCATAACTGAGCAAATGACACTTAATGACAATTGTCATAAACATGCATACAACTTCTTTCATATTCATAACATGTGTCATGCCATGGTTATGAAGGTGTCATGTTAGTCTTATGCACACCCCTTCAAGTAAAGTGTTACCGTCAAGGTGCAAAAGGTTTGCTTGTATTTGTCTCTACACATTAAACTAGGTTAGGAGAAATTATTTTAAAACTGAAAGAAAAAAAACCTTTCATGTGCTTCGATAAAATGAATGCATCGCACAGTCCCTTGCATGTGCTTCTCTTCTCGGTTTGTTTCACACGGCACTGTAAACCACAGCTTTAGAATGAAGTGACTCAGTCTCTTAAGCACACTAGGGAGTGTGTGAAACATAAGTTAGAGAGCACAGCTGTGTTAAACTGTTGGCTGCGACCTTTGACCCTTAGAGCTTGGCTGAGGCGACAGCTGAAAGTGAAATGGACGATGAGCTGCAGGTGGAGCAGGAGATGCAGGTACATCCTGAAACTCCTCACCTCTCCTCTTCTTCTTTCTGCTGCGCCGTCCGGGGCGTTAGATGCGGCAGAGCAAAGAGCAGTGGCCCGTCGCCCTTTACAATGCCTGGGAGTCTTTCTGTCAGTCTTTTGCAATGAGGAGATTTGGCCTTGTGATGATTTATGCCGTCCTCTGTAGAGTCCGTTTAAAGAATGTCTTCCATGTGTGCGTGGGAAAAGACTTGGCTTCAGGCTGGGATAAATCACTGCTTCTTTAAAAGTCTGTTTTCAAGTCCTACTCTTTGTCACGCCAATCCATCTTAAAGGGATAGTTCATGAATGAATGAAGATACTGTCATTTACTGTCGACCAGATCGATCGATTCAGTTGAAAGATCTTACTCAAAAGAACAATCAATCTGATATTAAGAAACCACACACGGCAGCACACCCGTGAGCACTGTCGCTCCTTTCACATGTGAAAGGGGTGTTTCTTAAATGTGCAGTAGCCAAACATGGACACTCTAAAGCCCAGAGAGAACGTGGAAAATGGACATGAAAAATAAGACCTAAATGAAACTAATATTAATGTTAAACTAAAAGCCTACTAAAAGACCTACTAATAAAAAAACAACATTAAATAATGTTAAATAAAATCAGTTGAATGCAGCATGTGCCGTCAATGTTAATGTGTGTGATATAAAGATCTGTTTATGGTCAAAAGATTTAATTTCAAGTTTAATTTGTACATTATTGGGCACCCATGCTGAAGTTTGTTACTTGGGGTGCTTTCTCACTTGGTTCGTTCACATCATCCAGACAAATATGAATCTCTTACTAGGGGTGTAACAAAAAAGATGGTTTGATACGAACGTTAGTTCAAGTCGCAGAACAAAACATAAAATTGGTTATTTTTTAGCTTTTATTATACAGTGGTTTACGGAGCAAACTATTAGGCTATGTGTCCACCAAAGCGTTTTCCCCCGGAGGCTAGTGTATTTGTCCAATTGTTTTCAATGGGAGCGCTACGTTATTAACCCGGGAGCAGCGTGACTTGAGTGCTGCGTTTTACCTAAAGTTCAGCATTCTTCGTTGTCACTTTTTACCCAGCTGTCCAATCACAGTGAAGGAGGTGTGGGCCAAATACCGACCAACCGCCACCTCCTGCTGAGACAACGAATAATCATTAAAAATAAGCAGATACTTTAGATTCGTATTGACATTTAAAGGGTTAGTTCACCCCAAAAATGTAAATTCTGTCAGTAATTACTCGCCCTCATGTTGTTCCAACCCCGTAAGACCTTCGTTCATCTTCGGAACACAAATTAAGATATTTTTGATGAAATCTGAGAGCTGGATCACTCCTCCATAGGCTTCTAAAGGGATCGAAACTGGCCGGCCCAAAAGTTATGAAAGACATCGTTAAAATAGTCCGAGTGACTACAGTGGCTCAATCTTAAGTTTATCAAGCGACGAGGATACTTTTTGTGCGCAAAAAATAAACAAAAATAACGACTTAATTCAACTATTCATTTCCTTCTCTCTGGGCCTCGAGATAGTTCACTAGTGTAACAGCGCAGCGCTTCTGTGTTGTACGTCACACGCATCACACACACATGACCAGCGTCGGCCAATAGTGAGCCTACGTGTGACGTTACACTACGTGAACTCACTCAAGCATAATTGAGATGCATGTTTGAGTGTAACTGTATCAAAAAGTTGGACAGGGACTTGGTTGGACAGGGTCCATCAGTTGTTGATTGGATTTTGAGATGTGGGTGTTTCACTCAAAAACATTGATTTACAAAATTAGATAAAGTGAATTTTCATTTGATGCCAACTTAATTTTTTTTGGATGATGGGTGATAAAATCCGGTAAATGTACATTTAAAGGGGGGTCCACTTGGGGGTGGGCGTTTTCACCATCCGTTGTAATTGTTGTGCCCCTTTTTCTTTTTACATATAGGGCTAGATTTACTAAACAGGGCAAATTAGTGTGAGAGCGCAAACTGAGCGCCGATGGGAAAGTTCAGCGTCTACTTCCATAATGAGCTACACACTCCACCAGGAGCAGCGTTAACGTCTGCTTTAAGACATACGCCTTTTCAGTGTTATTTTTGCACTGTGTCTTTAGTATATCCTGACAGTAGTTTTTTTGACTCCAAAAGAGTGTTTGCACTGTTACACAAGCTGTTAGTAAATCTGGCCCATAGTCTCTTTATACATATAGTCTCTCTGTTGGTCAAACATGGATGGCCATCTGCCCTTCAAGTGCTATATTGAGTAAGTGCAGTGTTTACCATGTGGTGGAAGGCCAACATTAACACACAGTACCACTCCTTAGCTTAATAAAAAGGCTGAAGTTTAGAAGTTATCTACACAGGACCTTTAAACTGTAGATGTTAATGAACCACTCAGCATGTTATCTCTACCCTAGCATTAGCATATAGTGTTTGCATAATAGCAGGATGTGGAGTTAATCAAACTTGCAGTAATCCTTGTGTGTGTGTTTGTAATCTCCCCTTGCATCTATCTTAGCATGGCGCATGTTCTGTTTGTGTCGTGTTTATGTTGGCCAAGCTTTTTCTGGCGAACGTAATCTAGACCACAGCTCTAGATTGTGTTGTTGTTGTGGCTTTAGGTGGCGAAACGCTTAACATGTTTCTAAATCGGTAAAGAGAAAGTAAAATGTTTTCTGACACACTTTAATTTTCTAGAATTTGCCCTTGGTTCTCTTTCTCTAAAGTTGTCTTTGACTCTGTGGAATGATGTTCAGCCGAAGAAAACCCGTTGTTTGCGTACTCTCGCTCACTCTGTCTCTCGTTCTGTCAGTCTTCAGACTCTGAAGAAGTGTTGGCTCCTGGGCGACGGGCGTCCCTCTCAGACCTCGGATCAGCGGATGATATTGAGGCGTTGAGTGTCCGGCAGTTGAAGGAGATTCTGGCCAGGAACTTTGTCGACTACAAGGGGTGCTGTGAGAAATGGGAACTGATGGAGAGAGTCACGCGTCTCTACCACGACCAGAAGGACCTGCAGAACATGGGTAAAGAGGCTGATGTGATTGGACGAACCATAGGATGAGGGCTCCGAATTATTAAAAAAAATGTTGTGCTATTTTTCAATCTAACATGTAGTTGGGTAATGATAAGTGGTGTTTTAGTTTGCATCCTGACCTCATTTTCTAAAGTAAACGTAAAGTTGAATGCATCTTTTCTGTTGGTTACATTAACGTGGGCTGTATTTTATTTTTACAGTGTCTACCGCCATAGAAGGCACAGGTGGGTGTATTTCTTATGACTTCAAAAGTTAGGAATAGTTTGTGTTAGTATTTTAAATGTTCATTTAACTTTTCAAGAGTATTATGCCCGTTTTATTGTGAAACTATGAATTCAGTCAACAGTTCACATAAGCTTGCAGGTGGATTACACAAATATGCATATGACGGTTTAAATCAGTGAATTTTATTATAAGTTTAAGAAAAGGAAAAATCGTATTAATCGAGTTTAAAATGCACGTGCCAAATTCCAAAAAAAAAAAAAAAAATTGTTTCCTTTTTTTTTTTTACACACAGACTCTGGATCTGGGACGGCGGTGGAGGAGACCCTGTGTAAGATCTGTATGGACTCGCCCATCGACTGCGTCCTGCTGGAGTGCGGGCACATGGTCACATGCACAAAGTGCGGCAAACGCATGAGCGAATGTCCCATCTGCCGACAGTATGTGGTGCGGGCAGTGCACGTGTTCAGATCCTGAGTGACATTTCCCTTTACACGGTCCTTCCCTCGAACAACAGATGCTGAATACAACCGTCAGGTGGCCTTTAATTCTTGAACATGTGTCTTCTTGCGGCACTTTAAACGATAGCGAATTAAGATCGCGCGAATCTCCAAGCAATAACTGTACTGGGTTCAGTTTCTTGTTCTTAAAAGTGTGCCTTCTGGATGTTTTGAATAGAAAACTATATTTTTTTGATCATGTGATCCTGTCACATGTGCAGATGACTCCAAATCAGTGCTGCATAAATGGCCATTTCTGCCTCCGCCCCTATTAATAAACACTGAGAGGATCATGTGGATGCACACATGCTGCGTTGCTTCTGAAAGTGCCTCGAATGTCACTGCCCTGCTGCTTTTGTACTCCTCTTTTTTAAATAATCTCTTCTTTAAGAACCCACATATTGAGTCTCAGGTTTGATCCATCATCAACGTCCACACTGTACAAATGTACTGACAAGTTTTAGACTTGTAACATGAGTCCTGCGAGATCTTAAATCTGTCGGTTCGTCTCCACACGAGCGACGGCAAATAGTGCAAGTCGCTGACTGTGCGAGATGGACACCAGTGGAACCTAGAAAAAGAGTCACGTTTGATCAAACCGGTTCTCATTCTGGCTTTGCCTGGGGGAATCTCTCAAACTGAACCCGATCAAAATCACAAGGAAAGAAACCGTCGGGTTTTAATGCAGAAAAATCGTAATGGTTATTAAAAAAAGAAAGAAAGGCTAGCACACTGACACAATAGTAGACCAATAGAGCCTGTAACCCATTCGGTCCTCGTCGGGTAGTGGAGCATTTGTCCACTGTTAAAATGGATACTTTTGTTCCCTTTTAAAGTCGTCCTTGGATGTTATTTTTGGTCATGCACCTGCTCTAAAGTTGTGCACATACCATTTCATTTTTCATTTGTTTATGCAAAAATGTTGGTGTTAAAGATGATGCATATTCTGGTTTCTTGAGGATCTCATACCCCTTGTAATGAAGGTTTCAGTCTGAACCAGATGGATGGTTTCGATTATGGGACAAACATCCCATTTGAACAGTCAGTATGTGTCAGCTCTCGTTGTTGTGTCTGGTATGAGTCATGATGGGCCTAAAAAAGCAATGTGTGTTACAGCGCAGTGCTGGATTGATCATTCGGGACCCTCACAGTGCTGCCAGTTTGAGGTAGATGTCTTGCAGGAATTGGATTAGCAGCACTTTAGCCCTCCTACATTAGCCGTCAACAGAGGACATATCAGATGCACATGCCTCAACGCTCCTGCTGGCGGTGCCTCGCAGGTCACAGGACGAGTGAAGGCCTGCTAACACACTCCATTCCCTCAAGCTCTTCACATTCAGTTAGCATCGACTTGCGCTACTCTTAGGAAGCCGTGTGGAAACAACAGCGTAAAGGAGTGTAAGGGTTCAGCTTTCAAAATGATCCTTTTGCCACTTATTCACTCTGTCACTGTCATTCCAACCTTTTTCTGTTTTTACACACTGTTAGTCTCCACAAAACAACACGAAGGACCATACTTCTCTTTTGGAGGTCACAAATTTGTATTCATACTTTAAATTCCAGAAAGGGTGGCGCTCGATGCCTCACACCAGATCTGACATCGTTCATCAAACGGATTTGTTGCATATGTTGTGTGTGTGCAATCCCATGGGAAGTTTCAATGTGGGGGATTGTTTGGTGTTTTGTGGCCAATCACGTTGGACGTTTCGATATATGACTGCAAATGGGATTCCCAAAATGGGAAAATCCTATGGTTTCAGATGACTTGGAATATATCACATATTATTCAGTCATATGGATTATAGTAATAAAAGTATGATGTGTTTTCGTTCTTTTGTGGAGCTTGGCAGTATAAATCACCATCGACTGAAAATAATACAGGGTTGGAACATCATTAATAACATCAATTGTACATTTTTGGAGATCTACTCCTTTAAGTAGAAGCACAATTGGTTGCAAATTAAATTTTTCTGAATGTAAGGCTTGCCAACTGTTAAATGTTTTATTGCCAAGGTTGCCTTAAGGTTTCCTTTAGACATGAATCACTGTCACAAAGAGAAAAGTGATATAAATATAGTCATCTGCATTCAAATCTCAAGACGACGAGCTAATACAAAATACTTAAAACTTGATTTCCTACCACTGTGAAGTAACGAGAGAATAATCATTCGAAGGACCAGGTTTGGATCAGTAATGTTGTCACGAGTTAGATGTGTAAATATAAAGAGGCAACACTTTCATTTTCATTACAAATGTGTTTTAATGATAATGGTGTGAAGCAGACGGCTTAATTTCTTAATATGAACTGATAAGATATATTTTAAAAACGCTCTAAGCCACCAAAGTAGATTTTGTGTGTTTGTTCGTTGAAGAATTTTGTATTAAAATATATTTCCAACACGTTTTGTCTGCTTGTTTATTATTATTATTTTTTTTATTATTTTTTTAAGTACAGGGTGATTAATTGATGAAAGCAGGCACGAGGCGAGCGGAACTAGTTGTGCCGGTTTACCCGTCCACGCTGCCAGCTCGTGCTGCTTATCTCAGGTAAAGCCCTCAGATGTGTGCAGAGGACACCGTATTCTCGCGAGGGCGGAGGATTGTTATTGAGTTACAGGTTATTGTTAGCGCTTTCTTCAGACTGCCCCCTATGACTGCCCCTCCTGAGAGTGCAAACGTAACGAAGCAAACGAGTTGCGTTATAAAGCTAATCAACATTTCACGTAGAAGCTGTTACAGAGATATTTGACAACAGGGATTACACATCTACGAGATATGTCGTTTAAAATGTGTGTGTGTGTGTATGGGGTTACAACAGGCGGGTTGATTGTATTTCACAAGCATCTTGTCAGTTTTGGCTGCTTATATAGACACGTTTTCAATGGTAACTGGGGTTTTGCTTCTTACACTAATTAAGATCTTAATATTTAGAAGTTGCTGCATTTAAAAAATAATAATAATTGCAACACTACGCTCTTTATATTAAACAAGGCATTTTGAGAAGCCACATCTGAGATCTATGGCGCACAGTTGAGGTTATTTGTTATTAACCATCACAAATGCTGTTTTGACTACACACGTTTTATTCTTAAAACTTTATTTTAAAATACAGTATTGTGTCACAAGTCCAGATTCTGAATGAGAAAGACTTTATAAGCTTCATGGCACACAGTGACCCCTTGTGGATAAAAGGGAACTGTGTTTCAAGAAGACGAAATGAATAATTATAAAATAAATTAGCTTAACAAAAATGAGCACTAATTTCGCCATTTGATCCCATTTCTCTTTTAATATCCAGTAGCCTATTGAAATCTCCCTTCCCCCTTTTGTGTTTCAGAGAATAACATACAGGTTTGTAATAACACGAGATTGTAAATTAACAGTTTGGGATGAATCTCTTTGAGAATTATGATTAGGTGCTCATAAATATATATTATAAGAATACCACTCCTGTTTTTTTAGATACCGGAACGATTAATTAAATGTGTGGAATTATATGCGTAATAAACAACACCTTCCTTTGGAATTAAAAACAAGAATGGACACATTTTAAACGTAGCGAGTCAGAGGAAGAGATTGCGATGCAATAACAAAAAAAAGACAAAGACAGGCATGAGTTGTCAGAGTTTGAAGAGCAGAGAACAGCATGATCTTTCTGTTATTATAGAGTAGGCTATACTTTTGTGTATTTGAAGTATATTAGCGTCATGCCTATTTTCACAATACAACTTTAAAATAATTGTGCTTTAGTATATTTTCTGAAAATATATATTTTAGAAAAATATACTTGAAGTGATTTTTTAAGTGTATTTATTTGCACTTTTTATTAAAATATTTTAGGTATATTTTAACTGTGTGCTGGAAATGATCATCGTAGCAATGCATTGAAAGTATACTTTCAAAATACATTATAGTATAGGCATACAGTATTTTGTACAAAGTATAGCTAAGTTGCATTTGTCTAATAATGTAGCCTATACAGTTGTTATTGAACACAAAGTAGGCTATATGCAATTTGTAGTATTTGGAATAAGCCGAAGGTATTAATCAGCCTATAATAGCCTACTTTTTTTATTCAAATATATCACACCACGATAGCCTCGTGGGCAAGTGCACCTCTCTCTCTCTCTCTCTCTCTCTCTCTCTCTCTCTCTCTCTCTCTCTCTCTCTCTCTCTCTCTCTCTCTCTCTCTCTCTCTCTCTCTCTCTCTCTCTCTCTCTCTCTCTCTCTCTCTCTCTCTCTCTCTCTCTCTCTCTCTCTCTCTCTCTCTCTCTCTCTCTCTCTCTCTCTCTCTCTCTCTCTCTCTCTCTCTCTCTCTCTAGCTACTCTCCTATCCTAAAAGGCGAAAACGCCAACAATATATATTTTTAAATAAAAATAAACAATATATATAAATAGCCTACACTTATTGTTTCGAAGACACTCTGAATTTGTAATGTGCTTGTAACACAAATAAAGTACACTTTAATATCACTAATCAAGCATGTAATTTGTCCTACACAGTAGCTAGTAGGCCCTAGCCTACTTTAAGTAGCCTATAAGTGGGCATATACTTGAAGTTGGTCCAATTTAGTACACAAACGTACACTAGAATAGATACACTTAAAGTTATGCTTTACAATTTAATTACAACTAAAATATGCTAAGTACAAAATTAGGCAGTTTCAAAATAGCACACTTCAAGTTAACTAATCATTAACACACTTGTCATTGTACACTGTAAAATTTTCAACACTAATAATAATAATACAAACACTATTTCTGGCAAATGTAAAAGCCGTTTCACACCAAAAGTGCAGACGCAAATCCACGGCTGTACAGTAGAGGGCGCCGCTCAAACCATCAGTCCCCAGGACGCAGGAGAAGTAAGGTCAACACTCTTACTTCAGCAAAAAACCATAAACATCATGTCTATGAATGAAACAAATGTGATAAAGTCATTTTTGCTTAGTATGGTTGAACTGGATCAACGAAGGTCAGCAGCAAAACCATTGGTTAATAAAGTAAGATTACATAGGCCATATTACGGCTGTTTCACAGACAGGGCTTTTAGTCCAGTCATTTTAAGCCAAAATAGGGGT